TTTATAAACTGCCTCCTACGTGTCAATGGTCTGCTCTGCTCTCTCTCCCTAAATCTCTCCCTCACTAACTCACTCTCTCTCTTTAACTTGCTCTCTCCCACCCTAATTTCTCTATCTCTTCCTAAATCTCTCTCTCTCTTCCTGTCTCCATCTCTCCTTGTCTTTAGGTTCCTCTCCCACACTGACTATCTCTTTCTCTCTCCCTCTTTAATTTGCTCCTTCCCCCAACTCTCTCTCATACTAACTGCTTCTGTCTCTCCCCCTTTATTGCTCTTCCACCTTAACTCTCTCTCTCTCACTCTCATCTCTTTCCATTTCTCCCTGTCTTTAACTTGCTCTCTCCCATGCTAACACTGTCTCCCTTTCTCCTTCTCTCTCCCTTTGTTTCTCTCTGTCTCTCACCCTAAGAACTATCTCTCTGTGTCTTTAACTTGCTCTCTCCTAAGCTAACTCTATCTCTCACTTTCTCTCCATTCCATTCCTTCCTCTGCTCTCCTTATCCTTCTGCTGTCTCTCCAAACACACCCACAAAATTTCCGCGCTAATGTGTATTTTCTTTTCTCTTTGGTCACTTACAAGCTCAAACACACACACTTAAATCAAATGCTCAGAGAACTATAAAGTCTGGGCATACTGAGAAACAAGTCCCAAGAATTATTCCTGGAAATTTAACAGCATACATGTGTGCACACGCGCACACACACACACACACACACACACCGACAGAACACTGCGCCTCCCTCTCTGTATTTCACAGAAAGTTCACTGTGGTGAATAGTTCTTCTGCCAAACCCATGCACATAAAATGACCCGGGCCCGACTGAAACAAGTCTGCGCCCTGAGTGAGTGTGACTGTTTAAGAAGAGAAGAGAGAAACTTAATTCATGATTGTGTACAGACATACATTTGGTGTGTTTGGTGTTTCGTTGTTATGACGTATGTGAATTCTACTGAGAGGCTAAGAGAGGATTAGCTGCCTCCAGGGAACACATGCACACACAAACAGACCATGGCAAATATACACACACTCACACATGCACACATGGGGAGGTAGGGTTTTTCCATCACTGACTGTGATTAGGTTCTTTCAGTAAAGTAAATTAAGGCAGCTGATTTCTGACTGTTGATATGTCATTTTCAGAGTGGACCATACAACTATATCCAAGGAAACTTTTGGAAATTTTAAGAAACACCTCAGTAATATTTCTGAAACATATTTACTTTTACTTAATAAAAAAACACATTCTAAAAAAAAACTTCATTCCCTAGCTTTGCTTACACTAGACTTTTCACTACACAAAACTTTCCTTTCATAATAATCCCAGCTGAGAACAGTCAGAATGCTGTAACATAGGCTGGTCTATTAGGCAAGGGAAACAGTCAGGTCACTAAAACTGTCCAATCAGCTGCATAAAAGTCATCGTAGATGGTGAGCATCAGCAGTCATGAGTTAGTTTGTGGACTGGCCTTGACACTCTCTAGAGCCCTGCCTCTCTCCTGAGCTCTGGCTGTTTGACCACTGAGGGAGTGAGTTCACAGGACTATGTCATATTCTAGTGTGAGATTTAGCATTTGCTTTTAGCCTTGTGGCCTCTTTGGACATGCAGTGAACATACATAGCTGATACTTGCAAATATTAGGGCTGTAAGGATATGCTCAGTCCACGATTTGATTTGCAACACTGGGTTCACGATTCAGTATTCTCATGACATTTTAAACATAATTTGTATAAAGAAAAATAATGCTGTTGCACAACTTTCCAATGACACTACAGCTGGCAGGCAAGAGGAGTGCTGAAGTGACTTTGACTGGTGCTGATCGTAGATGGCATAATTAATGGAATGTCCATTCTCCACAATGCATTGTTACGTCTCTGATGCACACTGTCATAGTTTGCATTGCAGCATCACGGTGTCACAGTGCATCATTACTCCTCTAGCAGATGTTACTGTGTTGAAGTTAGAGCCAAGTTTGGTTTAGGGTGACTCAGAAGGTTGGTTGCAGGGTGGATGTGGTTTGGTTTCTGGTAAACTTTTCGACAAATCAGTGACATTCTTTATCTAGATGCAGGCCATATAACAAGGCAATAATTTGAGCTACACAGGCAGCTACACTGTATTCACATCTACAGATCATACCTTCACACCACATTTTATACAACACTCACTCCTCCACACGTCTCTCATGCAGAAAAAGAATGAGAGTAAAGTTATAGATGTACTTCGTGGCTGCTGACATTGATGGATTGTTACCACATGTTGCTGACGGACAAAAAGGCCTCTGTGTTCCAGAGAGATTCAGTGTGCAGCTGGGCGCGCAGTTAACAGCCCTCACACGCAATACACACACGCACACATGCACACGCACACACACAGCATTAATTAAAACAGAGATGAATACAGAATACGAGGATGAATACTAAAAGGGATAAACATATATTTGTCTCTGTCATTTTTTTTTAAGTTTTTTTTTTTTTTTTACACTGTTCGAAAATGACTGCCATTTACATTATGCAAGAATGGTCCAAAACTACTTGGAATAAAATCCTGTTTCTAGCTCTGTGCCTTGTAACGGTTAACTGAGTTACTGTGGTGACAGCCCCCAGTGACAGTGCAAACTCATTTACTGGTGGTTTAAAAACCCATCATTACATTATTGATTTAATTCATGCAAACCATAGGAAGACACTGCGCTTTTATTATGTTCTTTTATTTCACAAAGACTAGGTTTAAACTCGCAAGGTATCACTGTGTTTATGCCCACATTTGCTTCAGTGTCATAAAAACCCAGACACCATTTTGGAGATAAATGTTTTTATTACAACAGCAGCAATAGGCATGTGTGTGGCATTGGCATTGTTAAAACAAAGGGCCATGAGACCTGGCCGTTGCGAGACACAGCTGACTGATGGAGGCATACCGCAGGCAGGGCTAGTGGACACACAGGCCCAGCTAGCGGGCTTCTACAGTAAAGGCTAAATCAAGACTAAAGGCTATTATTACCTCAAGAGACTGGCAGTTCACGTCTTTCCTGTTCACGTCATGTTCACTCCCTCGATAACTGAACCAACTGATTACACAGCAGCAGATGAGTGATCACTAATAGAAATGGCCCAGCTGTTGTGGTAAGGGGCTCCCAGTGTATTTATGCCATATCAGTGAAACCTATAGCCTTGGAAGAATCCAACTGGTGCATCACCCACTACTACTGCCTTTCCATGAAATGTTGGTGTTACAAATTCTGCCATGAGCATTTTTACTGAACCCAGATCCCCAAAGTGTTGTTAAGTTCCGTCTATTGGCACACATATGCCGCAGCACGTGTGCGCCTCAAAAATTGCTTCATGGTATCGGTCATAGGTATCAGTATCTGTATCCAATACTGTGTTTAGGTGGAAGTATTTGCGCGGTGCAACACTAGTACTCATTCAAGGTTTACTCTTGCCCAGAACACTTGGCATGCTAAGAGCTTGAGTATTGGCAGAAGGGGGAAAAACATGACAGAAGGTGGGGTGGGTGGATATAATTATGAGCGAATGGGAGAATGACGGAGACAAGCATTAAACCTCTCTAGAACTGAATGTGTTTTCAGCTGCCAAGCAGAGACAGCAAGAGAGAATAAACCTTAATGACTTCATTCACAACATGGGTCTCCATTGAGATTTTAGTCTTTCCCTCCCTCCGACCTCTCCTTCTCCAGGCACATGTGCATACACACACACACACTCACACCCACACACGTACTCGAATATGCACAAACATTATGTCATATTTCCAGAGAGACTTTGCTGGGTAAACACCACTATTCGTGGTATCGTTGTTCATCTTGGCTCACATGTGGAATAAGGTCATGCATGGAAAAGTAGCTAATCTAGGCACCAATAATACATGAAGACCTTGCTTCAACTGTCCATCAGAGGCTTTAAAGTCAGCCTGAAATCAAAATTGAGTTTTTTTTATGTTATTAAATCATGTCACTGGTCATGTTATACATTATTTATCATAGTATGCCATTTAAAAGACAAAAAAAGACAGTGAGAGTTCAAACAAAAAAATCAGCTATTGCAAAAATGGCGTCATGTTGATTTCATAAGCAGTTGATATACTTCTCTCAATAAGAATATTGTGTGTGCACGAACTTCAAGAATCCATCACGTCCCCATACATGTACTGTGTGGGAGGGTGTTTTCTCACTGTATGTGTGAGTGTGTGTGCAGGCCTGTTGGATCCAAGATATAATGAGCTTTGTGCTGCATTTTTTTATTGAGAGGTTAACACTGCCTACGTATGAAATCACATTACTCTATCCACATTTTGTCAGTTGTCTCACTCTTTATACTAATGAAACACTATATACATTTCTGCCTAGCCTTCCTGCCGAATACCCTGTGTAGTTCTTGTGATCTTACTGCAGGCTGAAGACACAAAGGCATCTATTTTGTCCAGGCTTCCCATTGAATACTATTCAAAAGTACCTGTGGCTCAGTTTTTGCCTCCCGCTGTGTATTAGACATTATTTCCATCTCTTGTGTGTTACATCAATGGGATGCATGACTCATGCTTCTCTGTGTCTGCTTATAACAAAGCCGACTTGCATAACACCATCATTGGGTTCTAATTCTATGTATTGTGTCCTAACTCCATTGGGTGTGTGTATGTGTGTCTATGATGTGTAACTGATGAGCACAAAGCCAATGACTGATGACAAAATGGACAATAGAAAAATGAAGGTTTGCAATTCCAGCTTTATTATATGCATAACAAATTTAGTTAGGTCTCAAGGTAAGTCTTTTTAAATGCCAAAAAATGTTGTCCATAAACATCCTGCACATGTAATGGCAGTGAAAAACTTAGTTGTTTAACTGATTAGCGCTGACCTAACTAGTTAAGCCAAAGGAATGAGACTTTTGGTTAAAAATGCATGTATTTAATGTATGCCTACCATCCTCTCATTGGAAAATCAATAATCGTCTATTTTCTGTGTTTTCTCTTTTGGGACAGAATTCCATCCGGCACAACTTGTCCCTGCATAGCCGTTTTGTCCGTGTTCAGAACGAAGGAACTGGAAAGAGCTCCTGGTGGATGATAAATCCTGAAGGGGGGCGAGGAGGCAAGGCACCACGTCGTCGTGCTGTCTCCATGGACAATGGAAACAAGTACACCAAGAGTGCCCGAGGACGTGCAGCTAAGAAGAAGGCAGCATTACAGGCTACCCAGGAGGGCTCACTAGAGAATGTGTCCACAGGAGGGTTATCCAAGTGGCCAGGAAGTCCAACATCACGCAGCAGTGATGAACTAGATTCTTGTTGGACTGACTTTCGTTCACGAACTAACTCCAATGCTAGCACAATAAGTGGCCGTCTGTCACCCATCCTGGCCAACCCAGAGTTAGATGAAGTTCCAGATGATGAGGTTCCACCTCTCTCCCCAATGCTCTACTCCAGTCCTAGCAGCCTCTCTCCTCCCTCTTCATCCTCCTCAAACTCCAAACCATGCCCAGCTGAGCTTCCACGACTAGGCACCATGAATCTCAATGATGGTCTTACTGATAACCTCATGGACGATCTGTTGGACAACATAACTCTTGCTCAATCAGCACAGGTTGGTCAAGGGGGTTCTGCTTTCAGTTTTGGAAGCAGCAATTCATCTCCAAGCTCCTCTTCTTCTTCACCAAGTGGAGGGAGTAACGGCGGAGGATTTGGTAATTCCATTTTTGGGCCCTCCAGCACAGGACTACGCCAGACACCCATGCAGACCATCCAGGAGAACAAGCAAGCATCATTCTCAAGCATTTCTCACTTTGGGAATGCTACACTTCAGGAGCTGCTGAACTCAGACTCACTAGGCTCCCACAGCCACAGTGATGTCATGATGACACAGTCTGACCCACTTATATCACAAACCAGCGCAGCTGTCACTTCTCAGAACTCCCGCCTCCGCAATGGCCTCATGCTGCCCAACGATCCCATGATGTCATCGTTTAGTTCTGGACTCAAAGGTCAGAACAGCCTTCTCCAGAACAACCGACACCATCAACGTTCCAGCACCCAGGGCTTGTTGCACTCACTCCCCAAAAACAGCCTCCCAAGCCTGGCCAATGATGCTAATAACATAGCCTCTGCCAAGCAGCATCTTCAGCAGCAGTCCATGCTGCTGAGTGAGACTTCTCTTTACTCTGGGCTGAATGGAGGCAGTGGAATGGGGATTGGTCTCTCTTCAGGGACAGATCGCTTTCCTTCAGACTTGGACTTAGACATTTTCAACGGGAGTCTCGACTGTGACGTGGATTCCATAATCCGCTCAGACCTGATGGATTCTGATGGACTGGATTTTAACTTTGATGCTTTGGTGCAAAATGCAGTCAACCTCAACCCTGTTGGCAACTTCAATGGGACAAAGCAGTCCAGTCAAAGCTGGGTGCCTGGCTGAGAGTTGTCACAAAGGTGAGTTCTACTGCTAACCACATGTGTTTACTCATTTCATAATATGTAAAATTAGTTACTTATGCATTCATTCAGAGGAAGATACTAGGTAGCATAGAGGACCATCATGTGCATTTTATTAGTAATTATCATACTCCATGTAAAATGTCTAAGGTACTGTTTCAAGAGGCACAACGGACTTTCCACCTAAGGATGAAACTCAAATGCAAGTAAAACAGTTTCTCAGTAACCCTTTGGATGTTAGCCTTTCTTGTTTGCAGTAGCACATTTTGTTTTATGAAAATCAAATATCCAATATCAAGTTTTATATCTACACTGTTCCGCTTACCATTTTCTTTACTTCACTCAGCATAAAGAAAATAGTGTTACTTATAGCTGTTTTGTGTTGTGGCCATTAAAATAGTGATGCAACAGTATCAAAACACTTAGCTGGGCTCCCCAGTGGCAAAACTGGAGATGGTTGCATCTTATTGCTGAGTTAATTCCCAGTAATGTCAGAGCGATTAAGTCCACACAGTTGGTGGGAAGAATGGCTTATTACATTTTTTTCTTTTAATGTAGGGCTTCATTTAGGTCAGCTATCCTACAAGCTGTCCTACAACTTTACCTGACTGACAGGCCATTACTAGCTAAATATGTTGTAGTATTGAAGTATGCAAAAAGCTTTGTGTAATAGGGGGTGTAGACTGGAAATAGGGATGTAATAAAGTAAATTTATTAGCACTAAAAACATGCACACCCATCAGATATCCACTTCTACCCAACAGAACAGTTAGCAAAAATGTAAAAATGAGAGGTATTTATTCATACTATAAACATGTTAAACCAGACACCCAACGAAAGCAAACTACTTGTTTTTGAACAATACCCCATTCCAAAAAGAGATACCAACAAGGCTAACTCTCTTCTCTTACTTCAATCCAGGCCCAGAACTGCAGTGCAAAAAATACACGAACAAAATTCCATCCAACACAGACTCTCGCCCTCCATTGCCAAGCCTGCCATCAGCACAAACAAGCACTGGATCATATGCCTGTTTACAGACTACAACTCTGGAGAATCTTACCTTCAGTCCAGCAAACACACCATCATGAAAGAATGACTGCAAAGACCCACATAGAAGTACCAGCCAGCTTACAGATCCCCTACAGGCAAAGAAGAAAACTTCAATCAGTGATGAAATTGTTTTACCACAGTAAAACAAAACTTTGTCTAGCTACAAAATGTGTTTTGGATGGATGAAAAGTAATGAGTCAAGACAGAATTTGAAAAAATGAGTTGTATCTGTCAAAAACTAGTTTCTTACTCTGTATTCAATACTTTCTACCACTTCTTTTCTTGTTAATTGTCACATGCTTGGTCAATAGTGTCATCCTCCAAGCACTCACAGTATAATTATTAATCAAAATGGTCAAAAAATAAGAAGACAAAATCACATTAATCTTTATACCCCATAACCTTGCAAATTTCAAAACTAACACTCAGGTGGAGTAATATCTTGAATTGGTGCACTTCAGGTTCTGTCTACATTTTGAATATTGTTAGCAGCATAATCACTCTCAAATTTAAAGTAGTAACCTAACACCAATACTGAAGTAAAACCTTATTGTAGCACAATATAATAGGACAAATTACTTTTGTTTGTGTGTACTGTATGTAACTATAAAAAGAAGAAAGAAAAGGTAATAAGTTCTGGATTTCTTGTCCATGCTTCTAAAATGAGAGCTCAGCTGGTGGAAGAATGCTTTTTAGCCAGCAAAGCAATGTGGGATCTTTGGCATATAAATGTAGCCAAATTAATGAATAAAACTTGGATTGTGAACATTTCCATGCCATACTGGGTGCTAAATAATCAGTGTTGAGCCTTGTCCTTGATTGAGGCCATGTGTGTTTACAAGGCTTGAAGGACAGAGCATTAACAGTTAGCATTAGCAATTAGCATATGGCAGCATTCAGTGGTGGGTAGGCCTTCCCTCTGGAAGCCATCTTTACTGAGCAAAAACAATAAGCTATCTTTTGTATATTTGCCAAATTACTTGAACATTTAGGAGATGCTGGTAGCCAAAATTAAGAGAAAACATACAGAGTTGAATTTAGGGACTACCTGTCTCTATATGCAAACTACATCACCATGGCTCAGGGGTGAAAGGGGTCACCATGACAACATCAGGGCCCCCATTGAGATCTACAACTGCAACCTGGTTGTACAATTTGTTTGTAAGATAAAAAAAAGTGTTGCGGTATGTGAACATTTATACATCGTGCAACAACAAGGCAAGAGTATGAAACAACAGGAAATAATTTTGTTGCTGTTTTTTTCTTTTTTCCAGAGAGGGGTTGGGGCCAGGGATTGTGGTTTTGCCTCTCCATTGAGATTTTTTTCTTTGTTTGTTTCAGAAAGCTCACCTAATATCAAAATTGTGTAAAACCGTCTTTCTCCCTCAGGAGTTACCCTCCACTGCGTACATCCATGTATGCATGTAACTGTGCATATGCATTGTGTGAAACGCGTATATATGTATACATCCTGCTTAAATTCATGTAATGTTGTGATGATGCAGTACCAGTTATTTTTTGAAGGTTGATGTTTTGATGAGAATAGTATGGGCCTACTTGTTAAAGGGGTCTGGACCACTCATAGGGAGGTCTCTTTCAATCCCAGACTGTAAAATATTCAGAAACTTCCTTCATTAGTAGCTTTGAAGCCAGAGTAGCCTCTAAGCGTACAAGCTAGAGGCTGAATGCTGCATAAGTGTTGTGGGAATGGATAGTGTGTGCATGGCTGGCAATACAATCTTACAGTGCCATCAGGGGTTTACAGCATGATCCCGCACCCTAACTTTGCTGCTCAGTTCATAATCTTCTAATAAACAGACACACACCCAGTAATGATCTCATGGAGTATGGTCAAACCCACAGAAAAAGCTGACATCTCATAATGCAAGGAGTAACTGACATATTGTTTGGGAAATCCTTCATAGAGGACAACAGCACTTAGAGACACCTAGAATACCCCAAAACAATCCATATTTTTATGACCCTTTATTATTCAAGCTAGCCTTGCATGCCTCCCTTCTTCCCCTCTTTCTCCGCAGAAAAACACCCTAATAATTTATAGACCACCTCAATATTTTCAATAGAAATGAGGCAAGAGTGCTTGTCTCACTATTGCAACCCAGCTTTCATATCCTCATAAATCAAAGGTGTTATATACCCATGCTGAGAATCAGCAATATGAGTACCACTATTCTAATCTTTTTTCCCCCCATCTATAGCCTCTTTCTATGTCTCCCACCCATTATCTTGGCCCCTTGACCTCTTGATCCTGTAGTAATGGCTTCTCTTCTTGATGTTAGTGGGTATTTTCTTCCTGTGTATTCCATTTTGAATTGTAATCTAGTTTGTATAAGAAATGGTGCGCATGTAAATAAAGCTTGTTGAGCTGAACGTGTATGAATCATGATATTTTACAAATCACTAGCCATAATTAACATATCTTCAAGTGTTTGTGTCATCAAGAAAGCAAAATGAAGACTGAGTAGCTGAATCAGGCATGTTGATCTAAAAGTAACCCAGAATACAGATTTCCAGAAGGGTTAGCGACCATTGCAGTAGATTAAAGCATTAAGTCACTAGAGGTTGTGATTACAGTTACAGTGATTTCCTCACAGTTGATGCAAAGCAGGCATAACAGTCAAATATTATTCCATGAGTTTTTAATAGCTAGCTTGGCACATTGTCATATAATTTAGTTGAGGGGAGTAGTCATAAAAGTCTGTAGACATCTATTCATCCATTACTGAAGTCAGGTCTTGATACTGGATTTGTTCTGGATCAAATGTCACTCCAACATATCCCAAATGTATTTATTTATGAATAATATAAATATAATAGAAATAGTTACAAATAATAATTACAATATAACATTTTTACACCAAGAAATGTAGTTAGTTTTGCCTATGTTATTGTTGCCAAACAACCACAGACCGCTGAAGGAGGACAAGATCTTTTAGTCTCTCATCATTGTTACAGTCATTACATGAACGTTTTACTTCTCTGTTATATAATACATCACAATATAGGTCACCAAATTACCACCATGCTAATTTCCACTAGCACGCAAGGCAATTTATTTTGTTGTGGTAGCGTCAAGCTAATAGTGCCACACGTTTCTTTCCCCCACTAGTGTTTATAGTACTGAACTTGGATCTAACCAATTTGAAGCGTGCAAGACATTCAAGTAACATGTTCTCTCTTTTTATTTTGCAGTTATACAGGGACTCATTCAGTCAATACTTACATTAAAAGCCCAAAAGTTGACAGCCCCTCAGTTTAAACAATATCAAGCTCTTATTCTATCAAAACGATTGGTGGTTCATCAGAAACATAACCGTCCATTCACAGCACAATGGTTTTCACTGACGTGGCACATTAGTACAGAATTCAAATGTTGTGAGGTGCTGATACTTCAAACACTGCTCAGTCAATCACATTTTAGGACATTTTAGGAGCTACCTGTTTTATAATCAGTATTTTGTAACAGCTTTGAATGTGGCTCGGCCAATCTCTAAAAGCATCATAAGAGCCATAAGCAATGCCTGGAATTCACCTTCTCTTCCCACACCCAAACATGCCCACCCACACACACACACACACACACACACACATGTATGCATACACACATACCCTGGCCAAAGGTCAACAGTTCTTACATAACTCCAAGGGCAATCTTTGTTGTGCCAATACTGAGGAAAAAGAGTGTGTGTGTGTTTAAGGTTTGGAAGCATACTCCTGACAACAGTCGTCAGCAAGTTAAAAGATTGGTGAGCACTTTTAGAACCACTATGACACTACTTCTTAAATGGCTTTTCAGAAGTACCAATGAATAATATTGATCCAATTTTTTAAAACTGTCTCAAAGCTACATAATTATCTTTTTATAAACTTCTTGGAATTCATTTATAATTTTCCTTCAAGTGTTTCCTTCAAGTACAATCTGAATCACTGTATAAATGAGAAACAAGAAGAACCACAGTAAAAATAAACAAACAAATAAATTACTGGCTCAAAAGAGAACGAATGTAAAATCTCAACTATCAAAGCCAACAGCAAAATGATCTAAAAAAAAATATGTATCTTTAGTGCACAAAAGCTTAGTGCACAGGACTCATTGGAGATGATTTGGCACATCTTGCGAAACTCTCGCAATTTGAGGCGACAATTGGTCTTGAAATTAAATTAGAAATTAAATTATTCGATTGCCCTACACTTAAGCAGTCAAACAAAACAACATAATTTGATTAACCATTGGGATATAAGGATTAGCTGCAGTATGCTGTGCTGTATGTACAGAGGTAATAACAGTGTGCCAGTGTAGCTACACATACTGTGAAGTGTGATAAGCAAACTCTAGGAGTGAATGACCTTTATGATGTGATGAATGTGTATGTGTACTGAGTGCGTGTGTGTGTTGTTCATGTGTCTTGACCTCTGTAACCATTCAAGCATCGTCATCGCTGCCCTTACTTTAGTCTGATTGGTTGAAGCTGTGCAAGGAAGGATCGGTGACACGGGAGATTTGAGAACTAGGCTGCAGAGTGGTGATGTCATTGCTGAAAGGAGGCTTTGTGTGACCCAGAGAAAGAGACAGAGACAGAGGCGTGTGATCTCAGGTTCACTGTAGCTCTAGTGTCCATTAGGCAGTAGAATACGATCTGTCTCTCAGCAGTGTGAGGGACTGCACCCATAGTTCTGTTACTGGAAACACCATTAAGCTTTATTACAGAGGGCACATGTGCACAAAGGCAAACACGTGGACACTCCTTCACTAGGTGAAGGCAGTGACACAATTAATCCAAATCTAATGTTTCTTTAGCATCTTCTTTTTTTCTTTCTGACTGCCTTTTATCAAAGATAAGAAGAGATTTTACCTGAGCTATAAGCTACTACACAAAAGATCACATCAATGGCAATTTCAAAGCAAACTACAGAAAAATTATGCAATAAAACTGGCACACTGATGTAATCCTACAACACGTCTCCCTCACTCTCTCTAGATGAAAAGATGAAAGCCATGTAGAGTTGAACACATCGACACCTTACAGTGGTGTTGCTTGTGACACCCTCTCACTTTGCCGGAGGATTTAAAAAGAGGAAAGGGTGAAGAACAACGGAAGAAAAAAGGAGTTAGAAAAAAGTGTGAATTAAGACACTAGGAATGAAAGGACAAAAACTCTTACTCTGTTTCAGAAGCAATCTAATGATAATAAAAAGCACTAAAGTTTGGGTGTATTTTTGTAGGTGGGAGAGAGAAAATGTGAGAGAGAGAGAGAGAGAGAGAGAGAGAGGGAGAGAGAGAGACTTCAAGAGGAATTAAAGTTTTTATGCACTCTGCCTGACATCAACCCACGCACACCAACCTTCTGTACTGTAAAAAATCTTGCACTTCTCTCTGATTTGCGCCTTCAGTTATTTTATGCAACTGATTCAGTTATTAAACATCTTGCTTGCAACATTCAGTGTAGTACTGTCACAGCAATCCTGTCTTTCGTCAGTATGTAGTTTCAAAAATGGTTATGTCTGAGAAGCTATAACAGTCTCTGTGAAAGTAAATTCATCTAGAATCTAGCGGACAATTTAACATTTCTCATTTTAAGATTGTTGTAAGAATTGTATAAGACTGTACAATTTATCTGTAGATATGTTTCACTTGCCAAGATGTCATTTTTTGAAGTGGACAAAGTCAAAGTCATGTTGCTGTCACCAATAAAATATTCTAGGGCTGAACAATATAGGACAGGAGTGACATTGCAATGTTTAAAACCCTAAAAAGGGGGAACAAATACCCAGACAAATTACCCCCACGGTTCCTGAAGTGAATTATCACCCTACTAATGAATAGGGTGTGTTTAGAGGTGGAATTAAAGTAGTAGTTTAATTGTCTAGTTAGGGTTGCATGATATGGATTAAATTAGCTGCTTTGCATTATTATGTTAAATTTCTCCATGTAAACCTGGTAAGACAACTTTGAACATAGGGTATAATTAAGCCTACAACTCTTGCAATATGAAATCTGCACTCTTTCAAACAGCAATTTTAATGTAAAAATGATTAATCGTACAGCCCAGGAACGCAGGAAGTGAGGGGTGCTGAGAGTGCAGCAGCACCCCTTGATTTCAATAACAATAACAATAAAACATTCTGAATTTTATAGTAATTTGAGAGTAGAAAAACCCATGTGTGCTTGTTTCAGAGTGGAGCTAGTATTTTTATATTTTTTAAAATCTGCAGTAGCCCTGCTGTTTAAACGAACTGTATTTTCATTACAGGGAGCCCAAAACAGCTGGCCACTATGGGGGCATGTTGCTAACACGCAGATTGAGGTTCAAAGAGAGAAAGTTTATTCAGAGTTATAGGCTAGCTATGAGGCCCAAAGCAGCCTAATATTACTGTTAAACTTGAAAAAAAAATGTAACGTAATAATAATGTATTATCAACTGTTATATCTCCTGCTCAGTGTGCATATCAGCACTGAACTGTGTTAGAGTGGGCGTGACATAATCGGTTACCAAGCCACATTTCAACAATCTGATTGGTCACCACTAAAAAAGCATAAAGTTTGTCTAGAACAAGACAGCAGAATGATTATGTCTGTCAGTTATCTGTATATATTTCCATTTCCTGCCACATTATAGCACTGTATGACACATTTTGTTGTTTTTTTTGTAGCAAAAAAAAAAAAAATGAATCATTTTGCATGATGTCATCTATCACATCACATATATGCCAATTAAAATTTCAGCAGTCCCAACTTAAAACACGTGTCCCTGCGATTCACGAGAATGGCATATTCATATTCAATGAAAATGGTGAATTTACCTAAAGGCAACTGGAAACACATTTCTGAATCCTTGATGTGGCCTGAATTATTTTTTATCAAAATCATTTGTTTGTTGAATGATTCATCTAAACACTCAAAGAATATAGATGATTAGTCAGGATGCCTACAGCACACAATAAAACATTCATTTTCATATTGCAATTATAGTATCATGAAGGTTGATGTTGCAGTAATGATTAAGGAACAATATACATTGCAGCCGTAATATATTCATACCCTCACACACAACAAAGAAAATGTGAATTATTTTGGAGAATGAAGGAGAATTTACAGCTACAACTTAAACAGCCATAGATAAGGTTCTCCCCTCTAACTCACCTTCTCCCATTCATTAATATATTTCTTTCAACCCTGCCTGGTAGGAGAATCGAGCTGTCGTAAATAATTTTTCCCCTTTGGTGACTGCTGACACCAATCTAAGAAAGGCAAAATGGGGCAAGAAATGATTTACCAGCTCCATAATGATCATCCGACACCACATATGTGCCCAGCCCCCTCTCTCTCAAATATATATGCACACACTGCAACATCAAACACACATGCAGCT